AGCTGGCCTGGATTTGCTATGGAGACCAGCTGGCCTTGAACTCAGAGATCCACTGCCTCCCAAGTGCTGGGATTAAAGGCGTGCACCTCCACACCTGGCTTTCAGTCATATTTTTAAAACAGCAGTTGGTTGGACCCAACTCCATTGCAGCTTAGATGTCTTCTTTGGGAGCGGTCCTCTGCCTTGAATTCTTGCCCTTGTCTGTTTCACACAGTCACAGACAAGCAGCCATGGGGGACCAGTTCTATCTTCCTTAGCTTACCCAAGATGTTCGATTTTCCTCCCCTTCTTCTCAGCCCCTAACCACTAGTGAACAGAGTTCCCGATGCTCCATAGAACAAACAACTGGGAGGCCAAACACCCAGGAGATACCAGGCCTTGCCCTAACACCTCCCCAGTCACAGCTCAGCAGGGACATCAATCTGGGTGTAGGCAGGGCAGGAGTGAATAAGGAGGAGGGTGGGCAGGGTTGAGAGAGTAGAACATCTGTCTGCACAGGCCTTCTGCCTGCCTCCCCTCAGGCGCTTGGTCTAGAGTTTTGCTGATGAGTGGTACCATGGAGTCTCTTCTAGGTGTGGTTCTGGCATCCTTTAGGTCCAGTAGGGGTTTTCAAGGCTCTGCCCCCAGGTCCCCTAGTCCCCGAGCTGTACTCACGCATGTGGAGCCTGTCAGAGCGGGCCTCCCACTTGTCATCCATCTCCCGCCTCCTGGACATCACTTGCTGCAATTTCTCCCGGATCTGTGGAGAGGAAAGGAGAGAAGCCCAGGCTTTGGTGATTCTCCCTCTGTCTGAGGCAGTCACAGATAGATGCAAAGAACAAGCTTGGCCATACAATTCTGGATTCAAGTCTTGGTCCTGTCACTTGCCAGTATGTGGCCTTCAGTAAATTACTTTGCCTTTCTGAGGAACTTATAGGTGTCTTACCTGTGAGTAGGGGCATCAGCTCCAAAGTATATATACACATGTGGGTACTGGCAGGTGTGGGCCTGCTCTCTTTTAGTGAGCACCCCTCCTCAAGGCAGGACTTGATGTGGCTCAGATTCCTGGCCTGTAGGCAGCTCAGTTCCTTAGAAGCATCCTCTCCTCCCTTCTCCCCCTGAAGCCACTTGTCTAGAAAGCACAAGGACAAGGTCATGGTGGGACTCACCTCTTCTGAAGCCTGGTGTTGCCGCTGCAGCAGGGACTCCCCAAGCTCCAGGCAGGTGCTGAAGTTCTTGGCTCGAGTGTTGATCTCTGCCTTGATGCCCTGGTGATACTTCAAAAGCAGTTCCACCGAGGAGACATCCCTGGGGACAGGAGGACCAGGGCAGAGAGGCAGTTTGGGAGAAGGAACTGGGTCGCTCAGACCTGCCTTGGGAAGTCTGGCCCCACTCCTCTTTGGCCAGGCAGGATTTCCTCTGCTGGCCCAACTGCAACAGGAATACTGATAGTGTCTTCATTGGTCAGCAGCCAGGCAAGGGGTACAGGGACCCTAAAGAAGCCTGGGAATATTATTTAGAAATAAAAAGGAATAAAGTACTGAATTATGCTCATAGATAAACCCTGGAAACAGGCTGAGAGGAACCAAGTCACAGAAGACAACATACTATGTGATTCCATTTACACAAAACATACAGAATAGGCCAATCTATAGAGACAGAAAGTAGAAAAGCAGGTGTTCCAGGGGCCAGGGGCAAGGAGTGTGGTGAGAGACTTTGAATGGGGATGTGTGGGGTGATAAAGTCTACTAACTTAGACTAGGGGATGACTGTACAGCTGGGAATATAGAAACAGTACTAGATAGCACACTTTTTAAGACTAATTTTTTTATGTGTTTGTGTGTACATGTGTGTGTGTGTGTGTGTATGCACATATGTGTGTGTGCCCATGGAGGCCAATTGGATCCCCTGTAGCTGGAGTTACAGGCATCTGTGAGCTGCCTGATGTGGGTGCTGGGAACCAAACTTGGGTCCTCTGCAAGAGCAGAACTGCTCTTAACTGCTGAGCCATCTCTTCAGCCCTGGATGGTATATTTTAAATAGGTGAAGGATAGCATGTGAATTACATATCAATAAAGGTGGCAAAGATGAAAGTATGGCCTTTGAGACAGGCACCAGGGGGGCACAGGGACAGAGATGGGTCACCAACACTTGTTAAACAGTCCATGAGCCTAACCCTGCCTCTCATGGACAGTTAACTTATACTGAGTTTTTGGGGAGTGACTCCAACATCCCAGTGCTGGGAAAGAACAGTCTTGAACCTCCCCAGCTCTGGATATGTGAGTCACTTACTTTCACTGACAATATTGGTCACTGTCCTCCTTGGAGAATCTAAATGACAGATGTCTTTCTCCCTTTCTTTGAAATGGTCAGTCCTCCCAGTAGAAGGTGAACCACTCTGTTTCCACCAGGACCCAGTTCAGATCTCTGGTGCCCCTCAGGGATTTTCATGCACCTGGCAGTCTGGGACTGTCCCTCTGGGAGGAGCCTTGGCTCTTCTGGCATGGACTAGAGCTCCTTTGAGGAAGTCCCCTCACCTGGGCCTCTCCTGGGTCTCAATCTGTCGAATGATGCTCTCCATCCAGGAGAGGAGGTCTCGTACCATACTGAAGAAACGGAACTTGTCTGCCGTGTCCACCAGCTGGGCCCGGCGCCCAGCACAGGCATCAAGAAGTGCCTGCCAGGCTGCAGACACCTCCTGCTCCTTGCTCTGGATGGCATCTGCCTTCTCCCCAGCGTACGCAGTCTGCAGGCGGGTGGCCACATCCTGGAACTGCTGCACCTGTCATCAAGAAAACCCAGACATTGTTCCCTGGGCAGAGGCATCTCAGGTATGAGAACATAAGGCATCTGTTTCCTTCTAGCTCTTCCCCAGGGCACTGCTGGAAGGTTGGGTGTTGCAGGAGAAGGTCCCCTGTTCTGGTGCCTCTACCTACGCAGGGCATCTGCTGGACTCTGGTCTAGGATTTGGGTGTGGGAGGGACTCAATATTCTTTGATCTCCTCAGGAGTACAATAATGAAAGTAACTATGGACCAGGCATTGTTATAAAATTTTAATTAATTGTCATCTTTAAAACTTTTTAATTTATTTTATTTTATATGTTTGAGTGTTTTGCCTGCATGTATGTAAGTGAACCATGTGTGTGCAAGCCTATGGAAGACAGAAGAGGGCTTTGGATCCTCTAGAATAGAGTTACAGATGGCTGTTAGCTACCATGTGGGTGCCGGAAATTGAACCCAGGTCCTCTGCAAGAGCAGCCAGTGTTCTTAACCACTGAGCCATTTCTCTAGCTCCTGACTCTCTTCATCTTTACAGCAACCAATGATAGAGGTACTACCATATCCCTGTTTCTGTGATAAGGAAACCAAGGCACAGGGAGGCTAAGTGGGCGACCCAAGTTCCTCCCACTAGCCAAGGCATCAGCTGGGGATGTAGCTGTACACCTGCTACCTCTCCAAGGAAGGGACTGACTCCAAATCCCTTTACCGGGGGCCAATTCAGTCGAACTTCACTCCTGAGACTTTAGTAGAGCTACACCCATCTCAGTAGTTCTGAAAACCCCATACACAATAACCACATACTAGGCCTCATCTTCAGCTGGAGAATAAATCCCTAAAATGCCCACTTTAGTGTGAATCAGGGGTCCAACCTACCTTGGATTCTCTCACCACATACTAGGCTTCATCTTTGGCTGCAAGATAAAACCCTAAAATGTCCACTTTAGTGTCAACCAGGGGTCCAACCTACCTTGGATTCTCTCCCTAAACCCTGCTTAAAGAATGATTTCTGAAGCTATAAATATCCGAATAGGTCTGTCCTGAGCTACTGGCTGCCCAAGGAAGAGAAATCTGGCACCCATTCCATTCTAGAGGTTTCCCCAGGAGGAACCTAGTGGAGTCCAGACACGTGGGGAGATGGTTGAGGCACCTGTGGGTAGCAAGGGTTGACGGGTACCTGCACGCCCAGTAGGTGGAGCTCTCGCTCGAAGGCAGTGTGGACCCGGTGGAAGGACTCAGCGGTGCTAGCGTCCAGCCCCACATCCTCTGGCAGCTCCCGGTGCTTCTCATCTATGAGGCCCAGGATCTCGGCGCCTGTGTAGAAGTAGCGGTGCAGGTCGTAGGAGGCGGCCAGCAGCTGCATGCGGGTGTCAATGAGCTCTAGCAGATCAGCCCACATGTCGTTCAGCCCATCCTTCCACTCAGCAATGGTGGCTGCCTCACTGTGGCCCGCATCGATGAGCCGCTCAATGATGGCATTCACGTTGTCCACCCGCTCCTGTCCAACTGCCCCAGTCTCCCTGGCAAAGTCTCGGAACTTGTCACGGAGCATCTGGACACAGGGTCAACAGAATGTGGTTAGCTGGGTGCAGGGGCAAGTAGGTGTCATGTTCCCACCTGGAGTTGGCTCTCACACCTTCCCCAGGGTAGACTGAGTCTTCCAGCCACCCTCACTGGTGTGACCACCACTGGTGTGACTGTATCTCTGTGCAATTTTTTTACAACTGGCAGGAGTGTCCTGTGGGTCTGGAGTGATAGTAGCCTGTGCCTATTGAATTAGAGGAAGGCGAAGAAAACGGGAGCTGTGGCTACTTACAGTCACATGGTCAAAATCTTGGCCCATTTCCTGGGATGAAGCCACCATCTCTTTTTCTGTAATCCACTGCTCCAAGTCGTCAGCCTCTCTCTTCAGCTGGAACAGGTGGTACATGTTCTCTAGCTTCCGCCTGCGTTCTTCGGCCATGTCCTTCAGCCCTGCGTACTGCTTATCCACTTGCCCCTGAAGTCTGATGATCTGTTCCCTGGGATTCAAACCAAGAAATCCCTTGAACATGGTGATCAAGACCCAGAGCATGGACTGGGGATAGTTCAGTGCTAGAAGGCTTGCCTAGCATGACTGGTCATAGGTGCTAATCCTCAGCACACCCAAACAAGAAGCCAGAGTGGCTGACTGAGAAGAAATAACCTACTCCTCCCTGGCCCCAGGCTTTTCTGGAAGAACTGGGGAGAAAAGGAATGCCCCCATAGGCCATGATGCCTCCAGGGACAGCGGGACTGTTGCTGGGGTTCTGCCTGGCATGGCACCTCTCATAGTGGCCCTCTCTCTGGGAAGGTCACAGATTCAAGCGCAAAAGGTGAACTCCACTATCCTAGGCGACTGATGGGTCAGGGCTCCAGCAGCAGTGGTCCCAATTAGCGCTTCAGGAAAAGACAGAACCAGAAGCTCAGTTCTCGAGGTTCTGTGGGAGGTATATGGAGTAGCTGCCAAGGAAACACACTGGTGGGAACCCTAAAGGTTGTCCAGGACAGGACTGTGGCTGGGGAAATCTACAAGTCTGGCTGGGGCCCCATTTCCACAAAGTCCAAACAATTCAGTGGTAGTTTTTCTTTTTCTTTCTTTTTATTATTTTTATTTTACGTGTATGAGTGTATTGCCTGCATGTATGTGAGTGCACCCATGTCGTGCAGTACTGTGGAGGTCAGAAGAGGGCTTCGGAGTCCCCGGGAACTGGAGTTAAGGATGGTTTGTAGCCGCCATGCGGGTGCTGGGAATTGAACCCAGGTCCTCTGCAAGAGCAGTCAGTGCTCTTAACCACTGAGCCAGCTCTCCAGCCCAAATGGAAGCTTTTCTACCTTTACTCCTACCTAAGAATTTTTGCTGTGAGGTCCTAAAGTACTTTCTGAGTCATAAAAAAAAAGCAGAATTTGTCTTCAGGGTCTCTTAGCACAGTCTAACTCTTCAAAAGACCAGAGCTCTCAGTTCACCAGGAGTGCAGCTTGCTACCATTCTCTGATCTTTATGCAACCCCTGCCTCTGGTGGCCCACTTTATATGACTTTCTCGCACAAAACCAAGGAATAAAATGGAATAGGGACAACCAATCTTCCAGAAACCTCTAGTTCTGGGGAAACTGGTCCTATTTCCTATTTCTTAGACCTGAAGGGCTTCTGGCCCGATACCCACAACCTGCTCAGGAGGCACACATACCCCTCAGGATGGCCTGCAGATAGCAGGCTCTGGGCCCGGATGGCCAGCTGCTTGATGTTCTTTCCATACTCCTCCACGGTACGCTGCTGCCGCAAGTGCCGCTTAAGCATCACAATGGCACCTTCTTCATCCTAGGAGGCAAAAGATGGTCAGGACCACAGCCTACCCCACCATACTCCCTCCTTTCCCAGCACTGGGGGAACATGGTGGACAGGAGAGCCACACACCTTCCCTTTCTCTTCCTCTGATTCCCACAAGGCCTGTTCCTACCTTCCTCTCTCCACTCCTCAGAGCCTTCAGGTCTACCACCAATCTTTTGTCCCCATGAAAACTTTCTAGGTCATTGCAGCCTTAAGAGACTGATTCACATCCCTTGTTACTCCACCTCACAGCATGGTCACAATATGAAGAGCGATTGGGTAGAGCATGTCAGGTCGCAAATGGGGCCCCTGTAAGGATGTTCTTAAGGAGGTGGGATGCCCTAAGGTGGTATCACAGAAGAGCAGGAGATTTTGTAGGCTCCCTATACACCCTTACCTGGTCCTTACTCGTCACACACTTGGACTTGTAGGCTCCCAACTACCTGCCCACCCCAGTTTTGCCTATCCACCTCAGCACCCAGACAGCCTCTGCCCCAGCAGACCTTGGGGAGCTCGTCAGAGAACACATAGAGCTCCTGTTCGCTGATCCAGGCTTCAGCCTCGCTGGCATCCAGGTAGTGCTGCTGTGCCTCGTGGGCATCTCGCAGGCGCTGCAGCCGCCCAGCTGCTGCCTCCCGGAGTGTGTCCCATGAGCCCTGCAGGTGCCCCAGGCGCTCTTCGATGTCTTGGCAGTCAATCTCCGCTGCTTTCACCAACTGTTGTCCTCGCTGTAGCACATCCTCCACCCGCGGTGCGTGGCCTAGGATCTCATTCTGCAGGGTCTGTGGCCAGAGGAAGGACTCAGAGGCAGAGCCTTCCCATCTGAAGGGCAGGCTTTTCCCTCCCCCTCCTGCCAGAGCATAGCGAATGATGGCAATAAAACCTTCTCATCATGGCCACTTGTGGCAGGATACTAAGCACATCACATGCAGTCATCTACAATGCACAGGTGGTCTTCTGAGACAGGCCCTGGGAAGCTGGTACAGGGCAGTGACAGCAAAGCTGAGCATGCAATACAGCTCTACCTGGTTGTCTCCCTGTAGCACCAGCTGGCCTGGAACTTGCTATGTAGACCAGGCTGGCCTAAAACTCACAGAGATCCGCCTGCCTCTGCCTCCCGAGTCCTGGGACTAAAGGCGTGCACCACCACACCCAGCTAGAGTTGCGTATGTGTGTATGTGTGTGTGTCTGTGTGTGTGTGCATGCACACGCAATGTGCATGTGTCTAGATGTATGCAACTTATGTGTAGGTGCCCATAGAACTGGAGTTGCAGTTGTGAGCTGCCTGATGTGGTGCTGGGAACCAAACTCAGCTGAGGCTGGCCTTGAACTCCTGCTCCTTCTGCCTCAACCTCCCAGATGCTGGAATTACAGATATGCACCACATACCCAGTGTATATGGTGCTTAGGGTCAGGCCCAGGGCTTTGTGCACACTAGGCAAGGGCTGTGCCAACTGAACTGCATCCTCAAGCCAAGCCTGCGCTCTTGACCATTCCCTATTTCTTTTTTCTTTCCTTCTTTTTAAAATTTTTATTGAAATTTTGTGTATTTCATACAGAAAATCATCTTTATACCCCCTTTCCCTTTGGCACCCTCCCATAAGCCCCCCCGCCCCCGGAGTTCATATATTCTGTCATTTGTGTTAAGGATTATCATGTAAAGTCAGCGTCCCCAGATGACCATTCCCTATTTTGATCGACAGAACTTGATCTCTTAGGCTTCCATGCTGAAGGAAAGGAAAACAACTTTAAAATGACCAATTGTCATCTTATTTTAGCAGTTTCTGCTCCAGGTAAAAGAACAAGCTGACAGCTGCCCTTGTGGAGGGTTTTAGCTTTTCTTTTTCTCCATTTCTTTCCTTTGAAAAAGATCTTTGGTGAACTCTGTATTATTTCTTGTTTGAGCCTCTGGTGACTTCATTACCATTTTCTTCAGGAGGTCCTAATATGTGAACCACTTTCTGGGTCCCAGACACCCAGGCTAGCTGCTGCTTATGTGTGAACTCTTGGGCTCTTTACACCTGCTCCCTCTTGACAATTTCCTCAAAGCCTTTAAAATCATCTAGGAGGCAGGGGCAACAACAGTGTATGTGGGCAGAAAGCCAGCTTCCAGCATTTAAAACACATGAATAACAATATGCACAAGGCACCTGCCCAGCTGGAGTGTGTCATATTTTACTCTTAGAATCTTGATTTCTAGAGAAGGGCCTGAGGCCAGCCACTGGTCAGGCATAAAGCCATGGTGACCCCACACAGCTGACTTCCTTAGGATTGAGGCTCCCTCTGCAGCCCTGACAGAGAAAGTGTTTGGCATCTGCTTGTATTCAGGATTCCAGCCAGAAGTACTTAATCTGTCCTAAGGGAGTAGATCAGCGGATGCTTGTTTCTGGGGCTCAGAGTCCAAATTCAGTGGTTTTCTAATGGGGCTGAGCCCATAAGTATCATCATGTGTCCAGATAAATGGGGTCTATGTAATCTGAGGACAATGCATGTGCCCAGCTTAGGCCTGGAGAAGAGCAAGGCAGTGTTGGGGGTGAGGCAGAATCAGTAGCTGTTGCCATCCTCTTGGGAGGCCACTGATTATAGGCTGTAGTATACAGTACACTGACCCCAAGCCAAGGCCGCTGGGATCCTGCACTTGAGCATGGTGGGAGTATGAATGACCCCAAGCCCCCAAGTAGCACAATGCCTCCCTCCTCTGTGATCCTCCCAGAATTCTCACCGCTGTCACCAAAGCCATTTCCACAGTGAAACTCAAGTGTAGTTAGAGGACCCCAAAGCTACCATCAGGAGCAATAATCTGCTGTCACTGGCTTCTGTAGATCAGGGCTAGGCCAGAACCCCTGGGGCCAGACAGGAGCAGGTAGGGGCAGATGTGCTGGTGAGGTGAGACTCACCTGGTTCTTCTTCATAAAGAGCTGCACTGTTTGCAGATTAGTGCCATAGTCAGGGGATTCGGCCAGTGGCAATCTCTCTTCCACCCAGAGCTGCAGAGGCAAGAAGGCAGGCGGACAGGTGATGACAATCACAGATAGCCCCTGTCCTGAGCACCCACAAAGAGCCAGACAGGGTGTTACCTGGTTCCTCCCAATGCTAACTCAGGATCTTACCCCCGTTTTACAGATAGGTTTTGATATTTTGGACTAAGGTCCCAAATAACATGTTCCTGCTCCACAGTGAGATCTTGGACCCAAAGTCTGTCTGACCCCAAAGTCCAAGCTCACCCTCATCAATACTACCAAGTGATGAAGTTACCATTTGAAAAGTACCTGCTCCACTTTCCTATTTAATGCAATCACCACGGCAACCCTATAAGATCAGGAGCAAGATGACCGGTCATCTGCTGCTAAGATTTCTCTGGACAGCGGTCAGCTACCCCCATGGCAGCTGGAAGCTTGGCCCTAGGGGGTAGAGAGGATACAGCCCACGCACCGTCTCATCCTCTAAGTCCCGGCTGATCTGCAGCTTGGCTTTGGATAATTCCAGCTGTTTCTTCCTCCTCCCCAGGGGTTCCAGAAGGTCCAGGAACCGCTTTTCGATGCTCATGTCTGTGTCTCCAGCCTCTACTCCCAGTAAGGGGGCCTGGGCAAAAAGCTCCTCCAGTTCCTCCTTCCGAAGATTCACTTGATCCTCCACTCGCTGAGACACAAGAAAAGAACATCATTGCTGCCCTCGACACCTGGACAGGTCTGGCCATCCATCCCTCTACCTACCCACCCAACCATCCATCTCCCACTCATCCTTTAAGGCCCACTGAAAGCTCAGCCTCCTCTAAGAAGTTTCCCCTTGTATTGGATTCCTGTCCTACCCATTGCAATGGATTCTGAATCAGGAGGTATTTTTGCATAATACAAGCAAGTCCAGCTAAGAGGAACAGAAGACAGGCTTACTCTAATTTTTCAGGTTGGTTCCCTAAGGTCCCTTCTACTCCAACACTCTGAGTCTACAACCTGCTCACATGCCTTCAACTTAGCCAACATCCGGTTGACAGTGGTCAAATCTTTGCCCAGGTCATCTGATCGCAGCTGGTCCTCCATGGCACCAATCCATTTATTGAGGTCGGCGTGGGTCTGCAAGCGCAAGTCAGAGCTCCGGGCAGCCGAGAGTTGTTCAGTCTTCTCCTTGGTGGTAGTCTGCAGCTCATCCCAAAGCTTATGCAGGGCTTCCAGCCTCTCTGACACCACATCCTTGAACTGGGGCTTCTCTGCCATCAGCTGCCTTCCTTCCTGTGGGGGGAAGAGGAAGCTTCACTCTCTGCTTCCGTGGCCTCTGAAGCAGACCTCCCCTAGGTAACCACTAGAGGGAACACCTGAGGGGAGGTCAGTCAGTGGCACAGAACTGGTGTGAGTCTCCACCAAAGCAGACCTGAACCTCTAAAGCTGTTTACAATAGGTAGACAGGGAAGGACAGGGCAGGGAAAGTAATGTTTGGCAAATAACTCAGAAAGACCGGTACAAGAGACTAGTGTTAAAAAATAAAGAGAGTCAAGATTCATTCAGGAGCCAGGCCTTGGTTGTACAGGCCCATAATCCCAGCATTCAGGAGGCTGAGGTAAGGAGATAGTGAGCTGAAGGCCTGCCTGGGCTACAAAATGAGCTCAAGGCCAACCTTAGCAATTTAGTGAGATCCTGTCTCAAAATATTTCAAAAAGGGAGTGGGAGGGGGATATACCTCAGTGGTAGAGAACTTCACAAAGCAAGAGTAATTGCTTAGATTTAATTCCCAGTATCAAAGAAAAGAAACTAAAATAAAAATTAAAATAGAACAAAAATCCAAGAGCCAGGCGAGGTGGTACATACTGTAATCCTAGTACTTGGGAGGCTTAGTTTGAGGCCAGCCTGGATTACACAGGAAGACTCTGTCTCAAAAAAGAATGAATAAATGAGGAAATAAGTAAGGTACTCATAGCATGGGAATTTCCCTATGAGTTCCAGAAGTTGTGCACTAATCGTGGATAGTCTCTTTTGGTTGGCCTAGTTTTCCCTTGTATCAGTGTCTGGGTTTTGGGTATGGACTTGAGTCTAGGAATATACACTACCAATAGTACCCAATATTTATTAAGGGCCTCACAACTGCCAAGCACTATCCTAGGTGTTTTGTTTTCAAGTACACAGTGCTCACAGCTCTGTTGGTAAGAGTTATTATACTCTCATTTCAAAGAGGAGGCTATGCCCTTAACCACCACATGGCATGACCTCATATGAACACTGAGCTTGCTTCTTCCCAGACAGCCAAAGCGAGAGAGCAAAGGGACATGATTCCCAGATCTAACCCCTTCCACACTTTGACTTGTGCCACTGGGCAAGGCTATTACAGATGGGTCCTGTGGTTCCATCTATAAGGGTTCTAAATGACTGCTTTCTGGTGGTAGTGCCCATCCAAATGATAGGCAGCACAGTGCTGGAAGGCAAACAGAAATGATTGCCACCATGCTGCTGGATGCTGAAACTCTAACTGTTCTGATCAGGTTTAGCAAGACTAGTTTTAGCAGTAACATTAAGCTCTCACTACTGTTTAGAGGAGATATTTTGTTTTTCTCTTTGCCACCAAGTTTTACACTATCCAGGAAGCTTCAGGACAGTGTCTGTGTCATGGATGAGGCCCCATCCATAAGAGCTTATCTGAGCAGAGCCACCTATGTCCACTCCTCTACTTACTGCATCGATGTTCTCAAGCCACTCTTGGTGGGAAGCCAGTTCTGCTATAAACGCCTGGTGCTTCATCCACTTGTTGTGAAGGTTGCGTGCTTCATCATAGGAGACATCTGGAGAGGTCAGCAGCTTGTCATTGATCCAGAGAGTGAGCTGTGGGCAGAAGAGTGAGCCTGATGGTTTCTGCGTGTACCTCTCTGGCAGAGCAGGATTTGCTGCCCACTCCTAACTGTGAAAGGAGAAGGCCAAGGGAATGTGGGCATGTCTTCCTCATTCAGGTATGTGTAGTGTAAGAGCAGAGATAGTTTACTTTTCTCTCCACAGTTCCAGGACCTAGGGTAGGGCCTGGGATATTGTAGTAACTAAGTGTATTTTTTCAGTAGATAGGTGGATGGATAAATCCTTTCTCTGGCAGTGAGGTGATAAATAATAAATACCATGGAAATGCTGTATGAGGAAGAGGTTAAGGGCAGTTCCTATAATTAATGGGGTACGTGTGTCCAATAGTTTCAAGGTGTCCTAGCATTATGCCAATCTTGGCTTATCCCAAGGGCAGAGGCAGATGGAAACAACGTTGTATGGGCTTAGAAGACACACCAAGAGGAGAGAAGGAAGCAGTCAGAGAAAGCCCCATTGCATGTGGGACCTATCAACAGACTCTCCTTAAGGTTCTTACTCATCTTCCCTCCTGGGGACCAATAGTCTGCTTTAACTAGGACCAACTCTCACTTCACAATTTCCTAGGCCCAGTATAAAATGAAGATACTCAAATGCATTATGAATTTCAAGGCAGCAGCAGCAGGGCATTGTGCAAGAACCCTGTGCAGGGTCCTGTGTTGATGAATACACAGATCCCACACCCTTGCAGCAAGCCCTGTCTAAACTTTAGGTAATTCTAACATAGAATGTTCTCAGGTAATTCTTCGAGAAACCTTATCTTAGAGCTGGCAAATCAAGGGATGACTTCAGATTTGGGGACTGAGAGTAGGAAAGAACTATAGGACCCCAAGTTCCTCACTCAGTCTCAGGTAAGGCAGGATCCCTATGACCTCCCACCTCTGAGCACTTGGCTCTAGACAGAAATCTGGAAAGTGCCAGCCTCACCTCCTTGCAGTTCTGGAGGAAGTTTTGTAGCTCCAGGTTGTCTTTTAGGAGAACTGTAGCCTCCTGGGCCTTCTCATTGTTTTTCTTATGCCTGGAAGGGAAGTCAAAACCAGTCAAAACAGTGCCAAACCTGGGGTCCTTGCCTGACATGCCCAGCCCCAGTGCAGCATAGGGGCCTATGATCCTATAGGCGGGAAGTACCTGTCTTCAATCAGCTGCACCTTCTCTTTGATCTTGTCTGAGTATAGGTTTCCCTCAGCCACCAGCTTGTTTCCAGAATCCACAGGACTCAAGACCTTATCTCTGTTGTTTTCCATAGATACTAAGAAATCCTCAAACTTCCGGATCCCAGCCTCTGCAGCTGCTAGGGAGTCTGGTGGCTCCAAGTGAGCCAGAGTATATTCCTGTTAATGCAAGTTTCCAGAGGAGGCATGAGGATGGGCTGAGGAGACTGGAGGCACTTGCTAAGCAAGAGCACCACACGCAGCTCTTCAAGCTACAGTGTGATTGGCACCCCCAGAGCTGTGAAAGGGAGAGACTCTACTTCCCTGGCCCTGTCCCTCAACCCCACCCAGGGGGTCTCCATCACCAATATCTAAAGTTACATGGAAGGGTAGTCACACAGAGCAAGATTCACTTCTCAAGATTCACTGACCAAAGAACAAGACAGTTTGGGACACAAGACTAGAGGAACACAGGATTTCCTTTAATTAGTGATGGTAGAGTTGTTTTTAAAAGTATAAATTGGTCATGGAGCCCTAAAGCTCATTCATGGGCTCACCACTAGTGAGGCTTTCTAGAAACTCCCATGTCCCAGCTCTGCATGCCTCTCCCTACCTGGTTGCTGAGGATGGCTTCAGCCTGCTTGGCATCTTTCTGGAACTCCTGGAACCCTAAGCACTGGGTGAGGGAATGACCTCGGCTCTCCCACATCCGGCGCAGAGCATCCCAGCCTGCATCGAGACCCTCTAGCCGCTGGCCCAGAAGTTGGTACTCTGGGTCCTTTTGGCCTTCTATCACCTTCTCCCCAGAGGCCTTGACCTGATAGTAGCTGTCTCGGTGCCCATCAATCTCTTCCTTAATGGCTGCATGCTGCTGCAGGAGCTGCTCGGCTTCTGGGAGTGACTCAGGCATGTCCTCAGAGGCTACAGCCTTCTGGGCCATGGACAGCCAGGCCTGGAATTCATCCAGATCCTGCAGGAAGGCCTGTAGCTTGCTGGCTTCACCCAAGGAGAGCTCCTGCCCCTGAAGGGCATCTTGCAGGCCCTTCCACAGCTTCTCAACATCTGCTTGCCGCCGGCCAATGTCCTCCTTCTGCTCCGGGTGTGACTCCATCAACTGCTGTGACTCACGTTCCAGGGCACCCACACGGTCCTGAATGGCAAACACATCACGCTCCAACCCTGAGAGCTTCCGCTGGATGGCAATGACACCTGCCAGGTCCTGCCCCAGGTCCTTTGTAGACTCCACAACCTTCGTCTTGTCTATGATCCACTTGCTGGTCTCCTCACAGTCCACACAGTAGTTGTTTACTCGGAGGGCCGAATCCACTGCCTCTCTCCGCACAGACACCACCTCCTGGAAGGCCTGCCACCTGTCAGGGGGAAATGCAGCCCAAGGGAAAATGGAGATGCCTCATTCCTTAATTCTCCCCATAAGACCCCTTTCCTCACATTTCCTATGAGTCTCCCCAACAGACCTTGTATGCTACCAAAAGAAAAAAGAAGCCGGATGTGGTGCGCACACCTTTAATCCCAGCATTCAGGAGGCAGAGGCAGGCGGATCTCCGTGAGTTCAAGACCAGCCTGTTCTACATAGTGAGTTCAGGCCAGCTGGGGCTACAGGGAGACCCTGTCTCAAAAAGACCCCACCCCCCAAAAAAATAAAGAAAAAAGAATTATCTACCTAACCAACTGTGTGTAAACAAAATTAATTTGTCTAATTTTACTTAAGCTATGTCTAACCAATTACCAGATCTCTTGACTATCAGGAAGCAAGCAGTAATGTAATGCCAGTCATGGGCAAAGCTAGTGGTTGGACATGTTGGTACATACCTTTAATACCAGCACTCGGGAGGGGCAGAGGCAGGTAGATCTCTGTGAGTTCAAGGCCAGCCTGGTCTACATATTGAGTTCTAAGCCAGCCAAGACTACATAGCAAGATGCTGTCTCAAAAAAAATGTTTTTAAGTTGGGCTTTAAGTAAATATTAACAGTTTTGGATCTACAATGGTTAGACTTTTTAATGGTGCAAAAGCAATATGTGTTTAGTAGAAACTCTGCTTTGAGTTTTGACCTGTTCCTCAGTGAGCAGTATCAGATATGATACTGTGGTAGTGCTGGGTGGTGGCAGTGAACTTCAGCTCCCAGCCAGTCACATGACCACAGGGTAAACCATCAACACTCTACAGAACTGTGTTGCTAAACTAGGATATGTGGCAGGTTGAGTGTAGAGTTGGTTTCCTTTTTCTCTCTCCCTTCTTCTGTTCCTTCCTTCCTTCTTTCCTCTTAAGTCAGGTCTTGCTGTGCTGCCCAACTCCTGGTCTCAGCAATCTTCCTGATTTAGCCTCCAGGCTAGTATCACAATGCCTGGCCATAAACGTGTGTGTGTGTGTGTGTGTGTGTGTGTGTGTGTGTGTGAGCTTCAGGGACCTGCCTGTCTCTGCCTCCCAATGCTGGGCTTACAGGCACACTCAGCCATTGCCTGACTTTTATACAGGTGTCAGGAATTTGAACTCAGGTCCTCTTGCTTGCATAGCAAACTCTCTTACTCACTGAGCTATCTCCTCAGTCCCCTAAATGCATTTTCTACCTATGATAGTGACAACTTACAAGGGTATCATCAGGTTGTAGCTCTATGACAAATCAAAGAGCATCTGTATAAAATTTCCCTGAAGTTTTAGATACATCAGAAATAACTAGAAAGCTCACATTAACTTCAAGAATGCTTCAGGACTGTCCCCAGCTTCCTTAGAGGAATCTTGGAAATGTTAAAGGTCACATTCAAAGTGCCCTAAGGCCTGAAAAAAATAAAAGAGGCCTAGGGAAAAGAGAAGAGGAGAGAAGAGAGGAGAGGGAGGAAGACCAGCTGTGATTATAATGAAAATGGGCAGCAATCTTAATCCTCAAATCCAAGGGAAACAGGGAAATAGGCTAATGTCTTGCAAATGTCCCTTGGTCTTTGGGTTGGTCTGAAGCATACAATAAGCTTCTTTAGAGGAACTGCCCATCAGCCAGGCAGTGGTGCACATTTAATCCCAGCACTCCGGAGGCAGAGGCAGGTGGATCTCTGTGTGTTCAAGGTCAGTCCGGTCTACAAAGCAAGTTCCAGGCCAGCTGGAGCTACAGTGTCTCAAAAAAAAAAAAAAAAAGACACCCCAAAAAGAAGAATTGCCCATCACCCAGGCCAGGCCAGACCACTACAGACACCTCCCGTGGGTCCAGGCTTACTGTGCATCATTAGAATATGTCAGCATATGAGAGTAAGCTGAATGCTTGTTAACTCATTGGACCCATTTCTTTTGAATATTCACAAGAGAATAAGGCATTATGTTGGACTTTGGGAGCTAGACAAAACCAGATCAGAGTGCATATCCCTGGATAGGACTCCTTTATTAAACCTCACCCACCCATGACTCAGAGACCACTGTGGAAGAGGGGGCAGAAAGATTGTAAGACCCAGAGTTGGTACGTGAACATAAGGAAACAGATGCTTTTAGGCCATTGGGAACTTTCTCATATGAACCTGCAAGAATGCTGACTGCATGCACAAGACCCATGGTGACTTAATCAGTCAAAAACCAGCACAGAATGAGGGAAATGGGCAGCAGGCCCCAACCCTAGCCTAGGAACTATTGGCAACCAATTACTGCTGGGTGAGGGAGAATAGATCTTCTTTAAGATCTCTAGATAGGCTGACCAGACTCCAGTGGATGAACTGGGTACAAATGCTTGACTGGATAGGACTTCACATATATGACAGAAATCATGAAATCTGGTGGGGGGGCTTTGGAGGGCATGGATGGGGAAGGGGGTATAATGATAAAGTTCTATCAGATAAAATGCACAAAAACTCAATTAAAAAAAATTTTTTTTGTCTTTTTGAGACAGAGTCTACCTGTAGTCCCAGCTGACCTGAACTCACTATGTAGACCAGGCTGGCTTCAAACTCACAAGGATCCGCCTGCCTCTGCCTCCCGAGTGCTGGGATTAAAGGGCCTGCACCACCACACCCAGCAAAAATATATTTTATAAAAACAGATCTTGCTGGGCATGGTGGTGCACGCCTTTAGTCCCAGCACTTTGGAGGCAGAGGCAGGCAGATCTCTGTGAGTTCAAGGCCAGCCTGGTCTACATAGTGAGTTCGGGTCAGCTGGGGCTACAAGGAGACCCTGCCCCCCCCCCCAAAAAAAAGTGAAAAGCCGAGTGAATTGAAA